CATTCGACCGCCACCTACCGTAAGTGGTGCATGGAGCTGCAGAAGATTTCGAAACACCATCTCGAGTGCTCGGGGTAGGGAGGCGTACATAGATATACGGTAGGTAGTGGTAAATTTTTTCAGCGAATTACTATTCCCCGCAATCCTAAATCGTGCGGGAGCTCCGTAGATGCTCAATATTGAGCCCAAAAACGTTTTGCAAGTGTTTAGGACACATTTTATGAAAAGGCAAAACGACCGCATGCACCAAGGAATCGAACCTTGATGCCATGCCTATCAGTCCATTACACTACCCGCTCGGCCACCACTGCACAGGTACGGTCTTTGCTCGGCTCGGTAATCTGTTCGTTAGTGTGGTAAAACGCAGGGAAGCATCGGTCCCGTAACTTTGTTCCCAGAATCGTTTAGCAGATTTGGAACACAGATTTGAGATCAGCGTTCGAAACCACCTACGGCGGTATACATCTCATCTTGAATGGCCACTGCGACCAAGTATCCTTCCCTTGTTAGTTTCTTTTCCATGATTTCTTTCGCAAATCTCTCTTGAAAATTTCGCAGAACGCAATTATTAATTATCTTGCACAGGAAATTCACAAGCCGAAGAGTGGGTGGGTGATCTAACAAATGTTAGAGGAGTGACCAACCAGTGTCAGCATCGAGCACAAGCATCCAATCCGTGTCCGGTAAGTAAGCTGCAGCGGCACAGTGCTTCTTGAAAAATAGCTAGAACGAAACATCTCAAAATATCCATTAACTAATCGCATTACTAGTGAAGAAATAGACATGAAAAAGAATGCAGTTTAAATAAAAACAGACTACGAAAATCCATGTGGCAAGCAGTGCATCCCACTAGATAAAAACTGTGAAAGGTTCTTCGTGGAAAAAAACTTGAATTTTTTGTGAAACTTTCCCACTTAGATAGGGTGACCGAATTTTCTCACTCTAAGTGCAGGTGTACCAATAATCAATATGTTCCAATACCTACCTCTTCCAGAAATCGACTTTGCATTTCATCAAACGGTAGGCTACACCTAATCGCCTTGAAACATTACCTAGATGACCCGTGTCAGTTGAGTATGTGTCTACTTGCGCACGAAATTACCAGTTGGGCGCCGCAATTAAAGGCACGGTTCACGATAATTTTGAGGTACAATTTTTAGGTGCTGATGTAGAGGGGTACATCGGTGACGAAGAAGGCGAGATTTTCCTGAAATTTGCCCATTTTACACGGTGCTTAGGTTTTTGGAGCAAAATTATGACCTTGCCCAAGGCTTCAACCATCGCAATCTTGAGCAACCTCTTCGGGATATACTGAATTTTGGAACAGCTGAACAGGCGGAAGTGAATTCACCGCCTATGGTTAGTAATGACGATGGGTAGTAAGTAATAAAGTCGACTTCATATATAGAACGATTTTGGAAAGTTAAGGACGTTTTTGCATCAAACTGCGAATTTCCGATCTTAGCTACGTGCAGGCCCGTAAACTTTCGGGTTCGATCATGCCTCCTTCGACAGCCCTGTAATTATCTTCGGATTTTACAGGTTGTTCCAAAATTGTGGGCGACAATTCATGGCAATGTATTTAAAGGTCTTAGGCTGAGAATGCCAGTGAAATCTGTACTCACATTTACTTGCTTCATGTGCAATAATAAGCGACAGTCACTTTGCAAGATACTCCCATTCAGCCGGTACAGAAGCCGAAGACCGTTTCCGACGGACTTTTCCATTTTTTCTCAGCAGTTTTTGAGTCTTGCTTTTTAAGGCTCCAAACTGAGATTGCAATTCCGTCAGGTTCTCTTCCAATCAGTTATCTTGCAGAAGAGTCAAGTGGCTGGGATTTCGAGAGCAGGACCGCTATTCCTCTTACTAAAAAAGTTGGGCAGCTGGCACCGGCAGCACTCCTAGGCGAGTTTGGTTCTGCGGACGGAGTATCGTCTTGCTGAAGAGAGTACGAGCTGTTTCATGAGGCGAGTCCGATGGTTTTTGTTGAAATTTACTGCACCGACGAAGTTACGGGTATGTGAAACACATTCCATCGCTTTGCTGTTCTTCCATTGTAAGAGATTGCACTTCCGATGTTTCTGTTCAGAACACGACCTTTTTATTTGCATCTTTTGTTTATACCAGTGTAAAAGTAAGGAATGATTACCGCATAAGCCGGGACAAGGTAGTTAGAAAATGTAGTTAGGGGGGGGGGGGGGGGTTGCGCATCGCTTTTATTCCACACTGAGGGCTTCGCAGAGAAAAATAGGTAGCCGACCTTACCGGTGCTTCGAGGAGCTCTAGGCAATCTAAGCCCGTGGAGGTGAGGAGTGCCAGGGTGGGGCGATTACCTAGTGCGAAAAGCTAGAACGACTTGAATATTCAATCAACTCATTTGGTTGTATAGACATACATAGCACGATGCCAGTACAGATGGAAATCACAGCTTTAAAATATCCACTTCACATTTCTCACTTAACGCCGCAGTAATTACTCTACCCCAGTAACCCAACCACCAAGTTACCGCTTCATATATAAGAAGGAAATGTAGGATAGAGTTGGGTTTTCCATATCACTACCCTTATCATAATCATAAAATTCTGTCGATGGACAGACCGACAAACCAGCAAACCGACAAACACACAAAGCGAAACACAAGTTACTGCTTTATAAATAAGAGAGATGCTATTATTCAGCATATGTTAATAATACTTGACAAGCTGGTACCTGATGCTCCCCTTACATTAAAAAAACGAATATTCCTTAGTGCGCTAAGTTCTGTATCTAGGCNGAGGATTCACAATGAAGATCGACCTTGCTGTGAAGCCAAGCAGGAGGAAGCGCACGGTGTGGACAGCATTCGATGAAATCTAGGGAGTAATGAAGAAGATGAAAATCGTTACATTTACAGAATGCGATTTTTTCATACTGGACTCCTTTGACTGGCAGGCAGGGATAGTCGAAATGATCAGAGTGTAGGCTCACGTCTGCACTTAGAGGGAGTGCGCATTCGATCCCTGCCGAGGCAACTCCGTGCCTTGCAAAGATTGCAAAAATGGTATCGGTACCAGCGTCAGGCCCAGGTTGACAGGCCGGCTGATGGAGAAAACAGTCACAACAAATATGTCTAAAGTCTCAAAGAGTACCAGTGATAAAGCTAGGACGTCACTCGGAAATGGCGCACAGGACCCCCGCCTGAGTTCTGTGGACAGCATGCGAGGGCTACCGAGCAGTAAACGATCTCGGCCAAAGAAGTTATTTCGAATAGGGACTCTAAATGTGGGATGGCTTACTGAGAGGTCCGAAAGATCGCTGATCCTATGAAGCGCAGGAACATCCAAGTCCTATGCCTTCAGGGGACCCGCTGGAAAGGAGCAAAGGCCAGAGAAATCAGAGAGGGGTGTCAGACTCTTCTACAACGGAGAAGATACGAAACGAAATGGTGTGGCCATAGCAGTGGCAGAGTCCCTGAGAAACTCTGTCTCCGCCGTTAACAGGGTCAGCAGTCGGATCAGGTGAGGTTAGACACGAAGGAGGGGCACTGTACAATAATATCAGTGTATGCACCTCAAGCCGGCTGCCCTGTCTACGAAAAGGATGGGTTCTATCTGAGCCTTGAAGTGGCCATCCGATCGGTTCCGGAGGGGGCTTCCTCACCATAGCAGGCGATCTGAATGGGCACGTCGGTAGGGGGGGGATTGGAAAGGGTGGTACATGGAGGTAGAGGTGTAGGAGTCAGAAACGAAGAAGGAAAGAGGGTCCTGGCCCTGGCCATAGCCCACGAATTGGCAGTCTGCAGCACCTTCTTCGCGAAAAAGAAGTCCCAGAGGGTAACCTACAGCAGTGAAGGGAAAAAACGAAACAAGATCGTGTGCTAGTAAGGAGGTTGTCCCTCAAAACTGTAAAGAACATCAAGGAACTGCCCGGAGAAGATCTGGCTAAACAGCACAGACCTCTTCTAGCAGATATAGCCATTAATCTTCCTAAGAAATGAAGGACAAGAACGGAACGGAGGATCTGGTGGTGGAAGAAAGTCCAAATCCCGAAGGACCGAACCAGCGGACTTGGAGAAACGCTGTGAAGGTCATCTTGCGAGGTGCAAAGGAAACGCTGGGGGAAACACGAGGTGGTTTCCGAGGGGACAAGGAAGCATGATTTTGGAATGATGAAGTCCCATGAGTTGTGAGGCAGAAGAAATCGGCTTACAAGCGCTGGCAAAGGACACGAGCTCCAAAGGACCTAGCTGCCTGCAGAACTTCCAAGAGGCCCGCCAAGGCTGCTGTCGCGAAGGCGAAGATCACGGAAATGAACGCCTTGTATGGGAAACTCGACAGTCGAGAGAAGAGAAGTTCGTCTTCTGCCTGCGTAAGCGCGTCACCGCGCCACTCAGGACATTGGGCTAGTGAAGTCCGTTAGGAACAGCAAGGGTTTAATCCTGAGGAAGCCTCGCGAGGTCAGGCGTAGGTGGAAGGAATACTTCGACGGGCTCCTTAACGAAGAATTCGCCCGTAAGAACAGCTCCCAGTTAGAGGCAACGGCTGGCCCCATCAATCTCTGGGCAGAGAATGAGGTGCATAGAGCAATGGGAAAGATGAAAGTTGGGAAGGCAACTGGTCCGGTGGAGTACCGATTGAGGCATGGAAAGCGCACGGAGAGCACGGGATAAAGTGGATAAGGTGGCTCACCCGATTCGTGAACACTGTCACCGCTAAAGGAAGAATCCCAGATGCGTGGAGTAGGAGCACTATCGTTCCAATCTTCAAGCAGAAGGGGGACGCGATGGAGTGATCCAACTACCGGGGGATCAGGTTGACTGCTCACACGATGAAACTGTACGAGCGGCCGGTTGACTCAAGATTGGGAGAATTGGTCACAAACTCACAGGTGCAGTTCGGCCTCATGCCTGAAAGGTCTACAACGGACGCCATCTTCATAGCTAGACAAATTATGGAAAAGTATCGAGAGAAGCGTAGACCCTGCTACCTAGCTTTCCTCGATCTGGAGGAGGCTTCCGACCGTCTCCCGCGACAAGTCCTCTGGAGAGTGCTCCGGAAACGAAAGGTTCCAGAACACCTGATCTCTCTGGTGAAGGACATGTACGATGGCTCCACCACAGCAATACGCACCCCACACGGCCATACCGGAGCAATAGATGTCACGGTTGGGGTACACCAGGGATCAGCTCTGAGCCCGTTCCTCTTCTTGCTCACGATGGACGTCATCACAGAAGAACTCATGGATGGACCACTGAAGCTATCGTCTACGCTGATGACACCGTTCTGATAGCGGAGAGCAAGGAAGAACTCCAGGACAAACTCCAGAATTGGCACAGGGTATTGGCGGAGATTGGCGGAGAATGGACTCCGGCTGAACGTGAATAAGACCAAGTTCATCAGCTCCGAAGAAGGCACGAAATCAGTAGTCGACGGTCGCGGGGAAGCCATCGAAAAGGTCCAGGACTTCTGCTACCTGGGGAGTGATCTAGCCACTGATGATAGCGTAGACCAGGCCGAATAAAATCCCGAATAAATACGGCATGGACGAAGTGGAGGAAATCTATCGGTGTTCTCTGCGACAGTCGGTGCTCCAGGACTCTCAAAGGTAAGGTGTATCAGGCAGTGGTCAGGCCCACGGTACTCTACGGCAGCGACTGTTGGCCCTTGAGTAAATCCCATGAAGGACAGCTCCACTTCGCTGAAATGAGAATGCTCAGATAGGCCTGCGGCTGGACGCCGCTGGATCGGGTCAGAAATGAAGACGTCAGTACGGCTGTGCAAACAGCCCCAGTTCAACTGAAGATGAGAGAGCAGCGCTTGCGATGGTTCGTGCATGTACTAAGAAGATCACAGAGCCATCCGATAAGGAAGCAATGGAGTTCGAGGCTCAAGGTAAGCGACCACGAGGAGCCCCAAAGAAGAGATGGCGGGAGTTGGTCAAGAAGGACCTTGCCGAAGCCAAGGTGACGGGAAAAGATGCCGTAGATAGAATGAAATGGAGACGGCTGACAAGAACAGCGGACCCTGCGATGGCGCGGGATTAATGCTAGAAGTAGAAGAAGTACTCCTTTGACTGGCGGCGCGGTCAAATGGAAATGCTAGTGGCACAGTCGATACAGGTGACATTTGGCATTCAATAGCACATCAACACTTTTTTTACCACAATGGCAANTTGCAAAGCAGTTTCCATGAATCCTCTATTATGAAGAAACCACGGAGAAGGGCCGAAATAAGTGGTTCGTTCAAGTGAGGGGCAAAACGAGTCATCTAAAAACTTGTTTGTATCAGCCAATTTTATAAATTGTTGTGTAAAATTGTTGAATCACTCCTTACTGATCTGTAGGTCTTCCTGCTTGAACGACAGATCGTAGAGAGTTTAACGAATTACCTTTCTACCCAATTTATTCTTTCCCTTGATATGTTTATGCTCAAGTAATTAGCCCAACCGAAAGTTTTCTTGTGAAGCGAAGTCTATTACCTGCTTGTTCAGCGAGCACTTTTTTTGTACCCTTTCATCCGTCATCAGATCCACCAATAATAGAGTGTAGTTGACTCCTTTAAGATAGCACTCTAACGACTGCTGGGCTACTCGGTAGTGCCTGAAAGGCATAAGTCGACACTGTCGGCCACTTTACCCTAAATACTATCTAATCACTTCGAGCGAACCATTTGCATACCTTTCAATTTGAATATCTAAAGTGTCCTTACGTTTGAGCTGACACTCCTTAACCCACTGACGACCATGCAGTCCACATGTGGACTGCAGTTGTATTGTTTTTTGTTTTATTCATCCATATTTCCATTTTTTGAAGTTGTTCAACGAACGAAGAATTCACCAAGGTAATGTTCTCCTTCGAAAAAACACCTCTACAATTGTAAAATTAGAAGATTTTCTAAGACCATGCTGTATGTAGTTTCATTTAGACCTGATGTAATGTTTTTAGAAGAAAAATTGTAAAAAAAATGGAAATAAAGTTAAAAAAATGGAAATGAAGTTAATAAAATTTTTTTAAACTTTATTTCCATTTTTTTTACAATTTTTCTTCTAAAAACATTACATAATGTCTGAATGAAACTACATACAGCATGTTCCTAAAAAATCTTCTAATTTTACAATTGTAAAGGTGTTTTTTCGAAGGAGTACATTACCTTGGTGAATTCTTCGTTCGTTGAACAACTTCAAAAAATGAGATATTTCTAAAAGACGGTCGTCATTAGCATTTTCGCTTTCATCAACCAAACGCAAAGCTCCCAACGGAACGCAAAAAAAGTTCCCCGAAACGATTTCTGGTAATGATTGAACTCATAATTGAATGACCACTAAAACGAATGCCGTTTCTATAATAAAAATCAATGATCACTCAATGTGGGCATTCTTACCAAACCCATTTGAAGAATCATTCCTAAAAACATATTTTTTTCATAAACTCAAAAAATGGTCATGCTGGACCATGAAGTCCACATGGGGCCAGTCGCTGGTGGACGAAAAGCGCGCCCGGCCCTCGCGGCGTTTTCCCCGCAAAACGTCGTGGTCGTCAATGAGTTAAACACTAGGCCCCCCTATCTAACAACAGTGAAACCTCACTTAAAATTGATACAAGTGAAATTTGATTGAGGTAGCGTTAGCGTGAAGGGAGCGTACAGCTTCGTGATTGATGAAAGTGGTATGTATCGTGTTCAGAAGAGGTAGTTCAGACCCGGTACACCCAGTTAGGTATTCCGCCTACACGCTTAGCGCAACCTCTATTCGTAAAGATGTGAACTAACTTCTCCATCGAGGATTTAACAAATGCAACGAATACGGTAACATTTCCGAATAGCTTCGGGCAATCGCCCATTCCCTCTCTTCTCGGATACGGTGTTCGAGCTCTCAATCTGAATTAATTCTGGGTCAAGGAAATCAAAGTACTCAGGTATCCTCTATAACTCCACGGCTGGTGTATGCGATAACATCCACTCATAGACTTGCCTGCTGATTGCTAAGCTACTTTTCACCATAGTATCAATCAATAATATCAATTAAAAACGGTAACTCTGAAACAGCAGACCATGTATGGATCCAATCGTAACAGACCGCTCTGACCAGCAAACCAGCTTCGCCCGCCAGGAGGCATAGAGGATGAATTACGTCAGCTAGCCACTCACTCTGTAATGTTTGCTGCCCTTTGACTGACTTGTCCTGCACCTTGGCTTAGAATGGCCTGAAACTGAAGGCAAGGCTTATAAGCAAAACAAAAAACGCAGATGTTAAAAATGACTTTCTTCAGGGGTGTCATAAATATATTGTTTCAAAATAACTCTTCATCAGCTTTGACTTGATGTTTTAATGACTGATGTTACTTCAGTAAACAAGTACGGGTTCGAGTCCAGTCCATGACCAAAGTTCTGCCATAGCTCGCCAACTTTGTGAGATCTTCATCTTGCAATGCGATACCCTCCCGTAAACAAAAAATTGATACAGGTATCTCTTACTTGAACTAATCAGAAAAAACACCTTCATTGAGCTACTGGTTATCGATGGACTTGATTCATCCGAAGCTCATTCAACTAAGCTTCATGATGTTGTAAAGACGCAATTCGATGATGAAGAGTCATCATCTCACATCATCTCATCCTTGAGAGCCTTTCAATAGACAAACATTACGGCATATCTTGTCAAACTAATAATTTAATGATGCCCGCAGATGTCATCCCACCCTTGGGATCTAGTTTATTGGTATCTCGCCTGGGAAAACAAAAAGCCCAAAGTTGTATATGGGCTGGTCACCTCAAGTCGTTCCATGGGCTACATACGCAAATACTAATACCATGATTCCGATACTGATAACGGAAATCGAATGCGAGGCACATACCCAGAAACGTCAATGGAATTCATCCTTCACTTTGCTTTATTTACCAATTCACGACTACACTAATTAGTTGGAAGAGGAGATAGAACCTTTTCTTTTGTAAGGCGGAAGCCACCAAACACACATACTACCGACACATCTTGTCTTGCCCCTCAGCCATGAACGGATTCTACTTGAAGGCTCAGTTCACGGTAATTTTGGGTAATCCAGATTATGATGAAAATGGAAGAGATCGAAACTAGTGCGCAGAGGTGGAGAAAGTGCGTGCATCGGGTTTCCAAAGAAAAAAAAAAGGCTTCGAAAAACCGTTAGAAAGGGGGCTGGACGACAATGGAACCAAAAAAATGAAGAAAAAAGAAAATGAGGGGGCGTCCGGACGAGCTAGACAGTGTGTTTCACTGCGCGCGTGTGGGTCCTGGTGCGAAGAACAGGCAATGATAAGCAAAAACTCATTCACCCATAAGCATAAATAAACAAAAAAAACCCTAGTAACAGCGAAAGTAGCTCACCTTTTCCAGTCTCTAGGAGTAGGAAATTAAATAAGGGATCGCGGCAGCAAAAAGAAAAACAGAGGAAAAAAGAATGTCAGAAAAACATTGCCTCATCACTCGGCGATTAGCTGATTGTGCGTTGGTCCTAAAACGAATAATAGCAATCTGTATTGTCTCGACACTCGTCTAACGTGACACCGATCGAGGGGCGGGAAAGCGAACCACTGCAGCAACGGGACTTCCACTATGCCCTGAGCGCCGAGATTGTAGGAGCGAGAGGGTCCCTTCAACCACCCATGGGGGGGCGCTGAGTATTCCTAAAGGAAGAACTCAGTAAACTTTTTTTATCGTGAATCGTGCCTTCAACTCATGTGTGCAATCAACTAACTTTGTTTGCTCCGTTCCCGTGAACGAAGTTTAGCCCTGCCCATACCATCAGTGTTTCCATCCTGTTTCGCGTACCTCCTCCAAATTTAAGTGAGTGCCCAGGTAAAAATTTTGCTTACGCCCAGCCCTTTAGGGCGCAGTTCAGTCCTTCCACTCACCATCAGTGTTCACGAACACATCGACTATCTAATAGATCCTCATGAATGTAAATGGATATGCCGATTCTCGGAATTCATGGCCTGTGATAGTATAATAATATGAAGTCTTTCCTCCATTCCACTGCACTCAGGAGCTAAGGCCCCTTTCTAACTGCAATTAACGTTGGAATGGCCCAAATACCTTTGGGTGTCTGTGAGGATCGTAACGTCAAGGCCATTTGTCGAACAACAATTATAAGGAGCATGACCTACAGTCTCACCAGCCCCTGCCACTAATTGTTCAGAAAAGTTGTGATCAGCATGGAAAACCGTTTCAGAAGCTGCCATCGACTACTCCAATGGACCAATATATGTACCCGGTTCCATCCCTCATAGCAACCGATTAATTTTCTCATCCAAGTATCGTGAATTCCCAAGCACCATACAGGGAAATTCTTGGAGCTGGGGTTAACAATCGTTCAAAAATTCAAAACTTGAAATAGTCGTAATATTGGCATGCACGTGCGAAGAAAGTGATTTGAAGAACATTGTTGTTATGAAAATTGAACAAACGTGTGAGAAGAAGCTCTGAAATGCTTCGAACGAGCTTTGCCCCCAAAGTCGGACTGACAGAGTAGGTAGCCTATCTCAACGAAGGGAAGGCGGCTACAAGGCAGTAGAGCGTTATGCAAATCTACTCTCCTATTCAAGGCAAAAACACTGCCTTTGAGGCCGTTAAGCTCAGAGTTGTTGTTTTTAGGACTCTATTTCAGGCTGAGAGAAGAAGGTAGCAGCCTATACATCGATATGTGACTTCTTAGCAAATTAACAAACTCAGAAAGCATTCGCTGGTGTATATGGGATTCGAATGAGTTAAATGTGGTGATGGCAGTGGCTAGAGCCACTGCATTCCATTTGAAAGATGTAGGAAGTACTGATTGAGTAGTCGCTTAGTAACTCCTGTCTATCTCAAGCAAGCCAAGTACTTTCATGCATCATGGTTTAACCACCTGTGGATGAAGAAGTACACCTCTTATCAATATTCTATTGGAAAATGTTATCTCGGGAATTATTGAAATGCACGCATAACTCTCAACGGGGGGGGGGGGGGGGGAAGGGGGGTGAATACGAGGAGCACGTAGTCCAACTTTGAGCGTTCGGGTAATAATGAGCTTCTCGTAGCGTAGAAAAGACCACCTGTCGACTTACGAACTTTTAGAATATTAACTAAATTATAGCCGCAACAAAAATGACCTTTGTCCTCTAGTTTTGTTTTGCGTAATGTAGTTAACCTCAAACAAAAAAGAAACTATAGCTCCCCTATAAAGAAAAATGAGTACATTCAACATCTATTTTTGGATGGTCATTAATCATACCATCTATATATCGCGAACTTAAAAAATGGAGGGGTGCAGTTTTCTTAAAAACACATCCCGTTCCTAGTCAGAACCGTAAATACGAAAGGATACGAGTGCTCCACGCAATGGTTTTTTAGATCGGAGGTCTAATTCAGTATCTGGCCCTTTTGTATGTAATGCCCATGAAAATATGTAGGCTTTGACCTATGCTAATATTCAGATTCAAGAGCACATTTTTTAGTGATCTAGAGTGGACTTGTTGAATCGAATATTCCATTTGCATCATCCTTTTTTAAGAGAATCACTGGAAAAGTGAAATTCAGTTCACGTTACTTGTTCATTCACTCCTTCCAGTCTGAAGGAGAAGGACGTTTCATCGCTGCATTTGCTTGAAATTTCACCATTTTTTCTTTCCCATTGCAAAATGCTTCAATTCGTAGCAAGGAATATAATTAGGTTAATTAATTAACAGCGGAATGTGCAACGACAAATAAACTTTCATGCACCGAATTAGCGAACTGTTGATAGTAGATTGTCGGAGATGGTAATCGGGGTAGACAGATGATCATCAACACGACACATGTAACACACACAATCGTTTGTGCCCAGAAACGACACGGTATTCGGCCGCTCAATGGCGACATGAAGCTCTGCAATAATGAAAAAAAATGCAGATTAATTTTGTTCACATGTCTATGAATGGTGCGGAAACAGTGACATTCGAGCCAGTTTACGGAAATGCAAAAGCCGGATTTCTTAGTCAGTGCTCAATTGAAATAAAAAAAAAACCTGTAGACTTGTAGAATCGGCAAACAATGCACAGCAAAAAACTCGATAAGGAATTTGCCGTGAAAATAATTGAGTCAAATAAATACAACCCATTACTTCTCCTGTATAATGGTGAAAAAAATTTAGCTGAAAGTAAAAGCCTATTCGAAACCATATAAATCGCTTTTTCTATTTTATTCGAGGAAACACTGAAAAGTTATGATTAACAACGGTTGGATAAACGTAGCGACTTCTATTATATTGCTTATATCTATGACGTGGTTTCACGAACTGCCACCTTTTTCCTTATATTGAAACTTTTCATAATTCGGTATTTGATGTCATGATGGAACAGAGTGACAACTTCGGCTCAAATCATTTGAATAAGAATTCCATATGAAGAGACCGATGTAATCTTGATTTTATAACAAAGACTGTCAATCCCTGTGACTTATATTTTAAAAGTTCTAATAGACTATTAGTCCCCATTGAGACTTACATTTTGAAAGTTCTAATGAGCCACAGTTTTCTTAGTCAACCGCAAACTATAAAATTTCTCATGCTCTGGCGAGCATACAGCGCAACGGAGAAAAGTGTGATCAACTGACCCTCTCAGTCCTAAACAATATTCAATGGTTGCATTCCAATCCATCGTGTATTAAATGGGAAACCGGGAAAGGAGTGGGATAATAGACGTCGGCCGCTGGCTTGGAAAGGATATGGTCCCCAATCTCGCTCGCGCCCTACTCCCTAGGGAAAAGAATGCTGGTGGTCGCAGGGATAGGTTATAGCTGTCAAAAATGTCTACCCTACTGCCCCCTTTCTCCATTGAGAAAACAGGACAAGTACGATTGACAATACACAACCTCCGAACCTCCTTCACGAATATACTGAAAGACTCCGTATGTAGAAACGGCACCCCATCTCACTGCTACATAAGTACACTATGGCAAAACTTGTTCTTGTATTGAATGCAACATGATACACTGCCCTATTACAAAGTACAAATAGCACAAAATGCAGTAACAGGTAATTAATTACCAGTTACCCCTTACGGATGGGGAGACGTCTCCAATTTTTAGAGACTACCGACTCACAAACTCA